CCCACAGGTGCCCCCACGTGTCCCACCCACCCCAGCACAGGCCCTGCGTCCTGCCAGCCTCTCCCAAACACTCATCCCAAATCACCTGGGAAGAGCCAAGTGGAGGCCAGGGGCTGAAGCCAGCTGCACTCCGAGGCAGGATGAGGCCGTTTCCCCCTTACAAAGCCCAAGAGCTCCAGGGGAGGACACGGGAGGGACAGTGCAGCAAGGCTAGGGCAGCTCCTGGCAGGCCCCGCTTGGCCCTGCTCCACATCCCCTCTCTGGGATCCAACAAGCTGCAGATCCAGTAGCTGTTTCCCACCCTCCCCTGGGCTCAATTCAAACACCTCCAACCCAAGATGGGGCTCGGCCTCTTAACCCCCTTGCTCCTGACACTTCAGACCTGTAAGTGAGAAAGGGAGACCAGAAACCCTTCCCAAGCTCACGGGAAGCAGGGAAAGGACTGCAGGACGTACCCTCCAAGCAAGTGAACAGATGAGAAGTGCCACAGTCGAGTGTGCAAGTTCTTTATTCGTGGCCTGGGGGAAGGAACAAAACTTGTCAAGTCTACAATCAAGTAGGAAATGCAGTTTTGTTAAATCGACTTCACAGAATTGTAGAGAAGCTTCAGAATTGTCCACAGCAGGACCCCGAACACTGCAGAGCGGAGCTGCGGGCGCCCACGGAGCACGGGGGCTCCAGCCCAGGGCACGGCTTCGCTGCCAGCAGCCCAGCGCAGGACTGCTGCGGTCCCCTGCAGCTCGTGAGCTCAGCAGCCAGTTCGGAAGGGCCTGAATTTCAGCTAGACCTCAGCGTGTGCTTGATTTGCCCTCATCTGTAGTGCATTACAGCGGACAGCATGAGAGGGGCGTGACAGACAGACCAGGCTGGCAACAAGCTGGACATCTCGGGCTCTCATAGAGCTACGGTCCGCCCAGCGGTACGTGCTCTGCTTGGCACTGGCCTCTGCTCCCCATCGCTGCTCCTGGGATAACGGCCAACCCCCAGAGACCACTGCCTTATGGAGGAACCTGCTCTTGGCCTAGAGCACAGGAGGTTACGAAGCCATTTCTGCTCCCACCAGGGGCCAGGAAGTGGCTCGGTCCCCGCCTGCCCTCGGAGAGCCACCAGCGCCTGTGACACAGCAAGGGATGCTCCGAGCACCAAGGCTACCCTCATCCCCGCAGAAGGACAAGGCACAGACAGGACGGTTAGCAGCGACATGAGGAATTACACGGCTTTGCTCAACCCAGGAAGGGCTGAAGGGCATCCCCTCCCAAAGAGGGGGTGCTACCGGATAGCACGGACAGCTCTCTGACACAGGATAGAGACGGGAAGGGGATGGAGATCCTGCTGGAGAGCTGGGAAAGGCCAGGAAATCAGATTGAAGGGGACACAAACTGGACAGTGCCTGTCACAGCCTGCGCACCCCTAGCTATCCTTGTGGCCTCAACTATATCAGCTTGGATGGAAACAATAGCACAGAATTGGGGTAAGGTTTGCCCCTCTCCCGGCATTCCTGCTGCTCCCTCCCTCAGGCACACACAGGATCAGCAGCGTCACCATCACCAGTCGCTTGTCAGAGAGGTAACGCCTCCAACTCCAGGTGACCTCACGACGTCCCAGAGCAGTAGCATTCGGTCATACTCCTGTCCATCAGTCCATCTCAGGCTGTCCATCACTGATTAGTGTTTGCTCCTGCAGCCCAGACATCTGCAAGACAGCAGAGAGGTCAAACACACAGTCCTGCCCTGTCCCGAGGAGCCCGCCGAGCCACAGAACTAAACAGGAGATAGAGGGGCTGAAAGGAGCCCTTCCTTTCAAAAAAAAAAAAAAAAAAAAAGCACAAGACCTAGCAACCAAGTGCCAGCTCTCTTCCTACCTCCGCTGGGATATGTGGCCAAAACAAGCCCTGCATGCAATGCAGGAGGGAATTCGAGCAAGAAAGAGGAGGCAGAAACTGTGTGGCTTCCTGCATGTTGTTCGGCGCCTGCTCTGGAGACAGTGTGATGGGTGGCCCTTCCCAAAAGCAGAGCAGGGTTTGAGACCCACTTCAAGACCTGGACTGGCTGCCCTTGCGCAGAGACGCTAACACTCAACCTCTGCTCCTCCTCCCGTAGAGCTGGGTATGTGCCCAGCATGTGCCAGCCACCATGCAGCACCTTCTGGAGCCCTCGTGCTGCTCTCGTTCCCCTCATCTGCCCACGCAGCTCTATAGTCTTCACGTACCCTTGGACACAGCTGTTTTGCCCACCCCGGCACTGTGCAGGGGTCTCGCCACCTCGCCAAGGGAGTGGGGACCCAACAACATCCGAGTGAACAGCCTGGCACCAGGCCCCATCACACAGACCCACTTGGGCAGGGACTGGCACAAGGGAGGGACGCACTGTGCATGCTTAAACCCAGTCCCGATGCCCCAGGATCCCCAAAGCTTGCTGTGACACACATGCCTGCATGAGCAACAGAGCAGAGCTTGGTGCAGGTACAAGCTGGCCAAGACAGCAGGGTGATGCCCCTTCGTATGGTACCCATGCCCTACACTGCCAGACAAGGGGCTTTGTGCCACGAGCCCTGCTCTAATGCCCCGGGCAGGGGGGAAATGCACGTCACCTAGAGTTTAGCAGAGGATGAAGCAATACCCAGCAAGGCAGAGAAGCTGTTGGCAGAGGTCAGCCAGCTGCCCCCATCCACAACCAGGGTGGTGCCTGTCACGTAGGAGGAGAGGGGACTCGCCAGGTACAGCACGCCGTGCGCGATCTCCGTCTTGTTCCCTGCACGCTGGAGGGGGATCATCTCGAAGTGGCTTGCTTCCTCGGCAAACTTCCCACCTGAACAGAGGAGGGAGAAGCATTAGCTAGGACCGTGAGGCCCTCTGCCCGTCTTCACAGCCTGCCAGACACTGCAATCTGTCAGCACTGCTCGTGGGGACAAATGGCTGAAAGCTGCAGGTAACCTAGATGGGATGTTGACACAGCCCTGGGAACAACCCAGAGAAAATCTTGAGCAAAGGGATTTAAAAAAAGGACATGTCAAGCCCAGCAGCAGGGTACAAGCTGGATGCTGCAATGGTTGAGTTCATGACATGATCTTGCAGAGCCTTCCCAGCCTCTGTGATGGAGCAGGTGCTCGGCTTATGGACTTTCAAATTATCAAGGAAGTTAGTTACATAAGGACATCACAAAGAGCAAAAAGAACTAACACTCAGCAACAATAACAAGAAAAGGGCCCTGGAAGCTGAGGAGGTGGTTGCTCCCTGCTCTTCCAGAAAGCCATAGTAGCTGAGTCACAAAACACCTTGGCCCCGTGCAAATGGCCCAGTCTGCATCATGTGCCCCATGAGAGGCCTGGCACCGGTGGGCTCCAAGGAAGATCCTGGCAAGCCATTTCCAAAGCAGGGCCAGAGTGTCTCTCAGAATGCCTTACCCAGCCGTCGGAAGCCCTCGGTGCCTGTGATAGGGCCTGGTGCCAGGCTGTTCACTCGGATATTGTTGGGTCCCCACTCCACAGCAAGGTGCCGGGTCATAGCGTCTGGGAAGGAGAAGAGATTGTAACAGGAATGAGAAACAGACTAAGATTATTCCATTAACTCCAGGGGAGCTGAAAAAGTAATGGGAGACTCTGGTCAACAGTGAAGGACCCAGGTAAAAACAGCTTGGGGGTGAGAAAAGCCTCAACCAAACCCCACGCATGCGCAGCACTGCACAGTAGCTGCTCCCAGTTCATGCTTCTCCTACAGGTATCTTCCCATGGCAATATCTGTGAACAACAAGCTCCCCTTCCAGCCTTACATAGCTTGCAGAACCCAGCAAAGAGCATTTAGGTACCTATAGCAGCCTTGGCAGAGCCGGCGTGCACCTGGAGGGCCTGTCCTCGGTAGCTCAGGGTCGCTGTGATGTTAACGATGACCCCACCACGGTCCTGGGGAGGGAAATGCCAAAGCATTAGGCAGGGAACACCACAAGGGATCACACAAAAGGGCCTAGAGGGACAAGGGAGCCAGGCTAAGAGGCAGGGTGACACACAAGCAGAGCCACCTCCAAGTTGCTAACTCTCCACCAGCCCTGCCCAGCTGGCTTCACCGAGCCAAGCCAGCTCACAGCCAGTCTCCAAAGGGGCAGGAGAAGGCAGGAACAAGTGAGGGCCAAAGGAAAGGAAAGGAGCTAGGAAAGCAGCAGGAGTTTGCAGCTTTTTCCCAAGTATCTTTTTTCCCTTACAGGATTTTTGGTCAATACAGGGCATGGCATGGAAATGTGCCACAAAAGTCAAAGCCTAAGATCATGGGAGATTTGGAGCCCACAACTCCACATCCTGCACAAGGGCTGCTGTTCCAGAAAGGGAAGGACTGGATCCAAGCAGGGCAGGCTCCCAGGAGGTGGTACAGAGCCTGACAGCACAGCTTGGGCAGCAGGATACTGTGCATCATACTCCCAGAAGCAAGAGCTCTTCCCACCTCTACATTACACTGAATTTCTCCAGAGTGAAGTCTGGTTTGCTTGAATTTAACTCCTGCTTACCAGGAGCAACTGCCCTGAGTCCTGTGGCTCAGGAGCCGCTTACCCGGAAGCATTTCTCAAAGAGCACTTTGGAGGTGTTGAAGGTGCCGATGGTGTCGATATCCATCACTGTCTTGAAGGCGTTGAAGGACAGGGCGCTGGCCGGGCACAGGAAATTTCCTGCAGCACCTGAAGAACAGGCAGGCAGGGCACAGTCAGCACAGGGCTGCACGTGGAGCAGGCAGGTGCAAGAGGGGCACTGAGCAGGTATGAGTGTGCACACACACCCTGCTCCTAAAGGTTACTGAGCTGGAGCCAAATCCAGATGGGAGAGGAGCTGGGGGGGTGCCGCATGCTACCAAAACTCCTGACAGCAGGCTGCTTTGCTCCTCTGCTTTGTAGTTAAGGTGTGAGTGAAGGTGGGCAGCTTGCTAAAGCTGTACCCACATGTCCTCAGACAGGGGCACTTTTGGGGGTCCCTCCTGTAGCTTGTGAGCTGGGCTCCCACCGCCTTCAGCTGGGGCAGAGGCACAAGGAGCCAAGCATGTGGAAACAGTCCTGAAAAGGGGATAAAGCAGCAGAGCAGCAAAGCCACCCTGGGGGCTGCAGGAGGACAGCACTGACCAACATCAAGACAAGCGAGGACGGTCAAGCCTTCAGAGCAGGTCTTTGCTTTCTGCAAGGCCATTCTCTTTGTGCATCTCAGCAGCTCACACCCTCAGCTGCCAAGCATGAGGCCAGAGAGGCAGAAGCCAAATCCTAGCCCAAATATAGCCCCTGTGCAGGGAAGGGCCCTGCCCAGCAGTGAGACCGGGCGCATCCCCCCCCATCCCCACTCCAGCTACCTACCGTTTATAAGGATGTCAATCCGCTCAAACTCCTTCAGCGCCTCGTCCACTGCTGCCACAATGGTCTGGGGCTGCCTGACGTCTAGGGACAGAGGCAGACATCGCTGGCCCGTGGCTGCCACCAGCTTTTTTGAGGCCTGCAAAAGAGAGAAGGGAGATTCTTTCTGGGACTCTCTTTTGGCAAGGGGGCACTCGGACCTTCTAACGGATGAGAGCCGAGCAGGAGCAGCATCTCTGCTGGCCCTCGGCAGGTGCTGCCTGCACAAACACTGTCACTGTGACCTCCCATCCTGGAGGCAGCTCCATTTATCAGCCAGCACAGCCACTCTCTTTATAAAAGCAGTGACTTCCTCAAGCAGGACAGCTTCATCCTGGTGGCACTGTGGCAGCTAAAGCCCTGGGTACCAGGGGAGCTCCTGCACGTTGCACCCCAAACAATCAGGCAAGAACTCGTGCCACAACAGGCTAAGCCCGGTTAACTCAACGACCTAGCACTGCAAAAGTGCCTTCTCAGTAACATTTCTGCAGGGTGAGTACAAAGGTATGTTGGCACAAGTCTGGACACAGTTAACCTTTAGATACCTCTTTCTACAGGCACCTATTTCAGCAGGCAAAAGGGCAAACACAAAGCAACTGCTATTGCGGGCTCTGTGGCCCAGCAGCTCTGCCTTAAATCACCTCTTAGGCAGTTCTTAAGAAACACGACTGTCCCAGGCAGCTTCAGGAAGCAAGGGACATCCAAACTCAACAGCACAATCACCGCCCAGCTGTGATTTTGATCTTTTATACATCTCACTGCGCACGCATTTCTGCAAAGCGCTCTCACAGCTGCTTTCACTCTGAGATCGCAGCACAAGCCAGTGCTGAGGAACTGAAACTTTGAAGGCCAAACGTCAGGTCAGGATCAGACACACGGGGTGGGTGCTCGGGCCACCCAGCTGCACCCAGGACAGCGGCAGTCTAATACAGCTAGTCTCTGTATTAGACTGCAATCTTTTCAGTCTGCTTTCTAGGCCTGCATCCTCCACTCCTCAAAATACAGAAATATTGTATTGAGTTTTTGAGGATCAAGATCTCTTAACCCATTTAACCCCAGGCTCAGGAGGATTTGCCCCCAAACTCAGTTGTTATTCTGTTCAGCCTGGGATCCCGCATCCCTGCTGAGAAATCCCCAGACTCTGCCTCTTGGCACCTCATTTTCCTCATCAAGGAGGCCACCGGGCAGTACGAGCCGCTCCCCAAGGCCTCATCTCCATCTCCAGCCGAGGGCAGGAAGGTTTCTGGGAGCTCATCCATCTCCGTGCTGCCTGCGGGTCCCGCTGGAGCCCACGGACTTACCTGCAGCACCCGCTCCAAGCTCCGACTCGCAATGACCGTGTGGCAGCCATGCCTGCAAAGAAGGGAGCCAGAATGAGCACCCGTGGCTGCTCCTCGCAGCCCCGAGCACGACCAGAAGCTCCGTGTGGGAGGCACCGCAGCAGGCTGCTGCAGCACCCGCCACCTCTGCCCACGGGGCCCCGAGCCCCGGGCTCACAAAGGGGCACACGAACAAGGCCCGGGGACGGGGCAGGGCGTCCTCAGGGCTGTCTCCACATCCCATCCCATCCCATCCGCAGGCGGCCCTGGCCTCGTGCCCACACCGAGCACCCGCTGTCCCCAGCGCGGCCCTGGCCGCGGGTCCCCCGTGTCCCAGGGCCCCAGGCGGGAGCAGCTCCCGCTTCCTCAGCGAGGCCCGGGGGGCTCCATCCCCTCCAGCCCCCGCGCCGCGCCCCGCGGCCTCGCTCCCCTCGCACCTCATGAAGATCTCCGCGATGCGGAAGCCGATGCCGGAGCCGCCGCCGGTGATGAAGGCGACCTGGCCGCTGCGGAGGGGAGAAGGGCGGCTCAGAGCGGGCGCCGCGCAGGGGCCCCGCGCTGCGCTGCGCCCGGCCCGGCCGCGCCCGCACTCACGCCAGGATGTCGGCGCTGAAGAGGTGCCGGTACTCGCCCAGGCACTCGTCCGCGTCCGCGTCCGCGGGCGGCGCGCACGGCCCGGCCTGCGACATGGCGGCGCGTCCCCCCGCTCCCGCGACCGGCCCGCCGCCGCGCGGGGCACGCCGGGAGCTGTAGGCGCGCCGCCGCGCTGCATGCCGGGACATGTAGTCCCTCCGCCGCGGGGCGGCGCGGAAGTGCTCGTGCTCCCGCCGCTCTGCCCCGCCCACCCCCGAGTAGGGGGGCGCCGACACGCATGCGCTGGCGTGCGGCGGCGTTGCCTGGCAACCGCGAGGGGAGGCGAGCGGTGTCGCACAGCGCCCCCCAGCGCCATGTCAGGGTGCCTGCCGCCCCCCAGCGCCATCCCGCTGTCCCCAGGGACATCTCAGTGTCCCCACTGCCCCCCAGCGCCATCCCAGGGCGCCCAGTACCCTCCAGCGCCATCCCGCTGTCCCCAGGGACATCTCAGTGTCCCCAATGCCCCCCAGCGCCA